CATTCCTGGGTAATATACAAGAGGACAGCATTTTAAAATACGGTTTCATTATGACTGGTACTGAACTAAGGCCCTAGGAACTGTCCCAGCAGATATTCTAGGAAAATCAGGGGGAAAGTCACTGTGCAACAGAGATACAGATATTCTTTCCTCTACAATCTGACATTGTAATGCATCCTGTTCAGTACATCTACAGTTATGTACAGTATCAACCACAACACAAAGAAATCTTTTTTTCTGTTGCCTTTAAAGCTACTTTATAGTTTCAAATCAAAGCCTGAAGTTTCAAATTAAAAATGCCAAAGTTTCTTTTGTACCAATCCTATTAAAAATATCAAGAGATTGGTTTCCCTGACTAATGGTGACTTGCTGGTGCCATAACAGGTAGGGCTGCTTACCTTAAAAGACACAAGTATACCAAGAAACATTTTAGTCTGAGACACAAACTTATTAAACTTTACAAAAGGTGATAAAAGCTCATGTTCCAAAGTGCCACAAGCAAAACTAGTTTGTAGCCTAACCACAGCTGCCAGCCCCAGTTGCTCAGCACTGCCTCATTTCCCATTCTGACTATTCACTTTAGTTTCGCAAGATGTTTTACTTTTTCAACCTAATTTATTTGTCTGCTCCTATTAACCACTATGTATCTCAATCTTTATTAAACTGCCAAAGACATTCATAGCCAGTTTGAGTGCTGACTGTAGACCTAATGACCTGGGCCACCTAAAAGAAAACCTCCCGGAAGACATTTAGTGAGTATTTAGTGAGCATCGTGCAACCAAGATGTCTACATATTGCATTAAATATAGAAAATTACAGGAATTTCCTCAAAGATCTAAAATTTGTTCAAGGAATTCAGTAATGAACTACAGCAGCATTAGTGAGACCAATATTATTAAGAAACTCAAAGGGTGGCATATAATTCTTTGTTTTAATACACTTTATTAGATTGTTAGGATATACAGGTTTAAGGGGGGAAAGGGAAACAAAGCAATAAGTCTTCTGCATATAATTCTTCTCCAGATATCATTTCACACTACAGAAAGATAGACTGTGAAATTTTAAAAGTTCATAAAGGCTTCTTCAAACTATATTATCAAAAAGTTCATATCTTTGTATTTCTTTCATCTTGTAGGAAGCGGTGGCGCAGGCGGTAAGAGATGCCTGCACGTACATCTGGCCGAACAGCTTCGGCTGTTCGAGCCCCACCGCGGCCGGGGTGAGTGCCTGGCTCTATGTCCCAGCTCCCGCCCACCCAGCGGCTTGAAAGCCCGTTAAAGGACGAATAGACTAATGGGTACCTGCTACTAGAGCGGGGAGGCACCCGGCCCTGTGTTGCAGCGGCGAGCGGCGAAGCGAAGCAGTGGCAGCGGCGGAGAAAAATGGTGGCTGGCGAGGCAAGGAGCAAGCGAGCGAAGGAGGCTGGACCAACTGGCGTGGAGGCGGAGCAATGCAGCAGGCCGGAGCCTCATCGGGACAGAGGCCGCAGCGGAGCATGCACGGAAGTGCGAGTGATCCTGGCCCGGAAATTGAATCGCTACAGCCGGAAGAAGGGAACTCCAAAGACCAGCACCAGAAGGACACCGCCGACTACTGCGCCCGCAAGAACAAACAACCGAAGATCCGCCGCAAAAAGGGTGCCTGGTAGGGTAGTCACCACCCCTGTATGTCTGTGGCCCTAGGTTAGATTCTGTGAATGTGATTAGCACCCTCTGTAAGCCGCCCAGAGACCCTTAGGGGTTAGGGCGGGATAGCAAAATCGAATAAATAAATAAATAAATAAATAAATAAATCTTATCCAATCGTAAAAAGGAGTCCACAGTCCAACAAAATCTTCTTCCATTTGTCCTTTTAAGATCAAAGTAAGTTTGTCCATTTCCACCCTTTTCATGGTCTTCATTAGTAGGTCTTGTTCAGAGGCTATTGTTCGAAGTTTCCAAAAAGTTGCAAATAAAATTCTCACTGCTGTTACTACATAAATTATAAAATATCTTTGATTTTTGTCAAAATCATCTGGTATACAAATCAATAAAAACAATTCTGGTCGAAAAGGTATTGAAGTCTGCAGAACTGTCTGTATAAATGTATGCACCATAACCCAGAACTTATGTACAATTTCGCATGTCCACCACATATGGTAAAAGGTACCTACATGTTTTTTACGCTTCCAGCAACTATTAAACATATTTTTGTACATTTTAGCTAATCTATCTGGTGTTAAATACCATCTATAAAACAGGTTATACAGATTCTCTTTAAATGCAACCAATTTGGTAATTTTCACATTCAGTTTCCACAGTTTACTCCACTGTACAAGATAAATATTACAACCTAGATTTTGCATCCATTTAATCATACAATCTTTAACCACTTCATCCTCCATTTTCATTTGCATTAAAATACATACATTTTCTTAATCAACTTATCATTAGATGTACATAACAATTTTTAAAATGCACATTGTTCTAAGTAAAAACCAGATTTTCTACCTTTAACATATCTAGATTCAATGTGAGCCCTTGTCCACCAATCTAAATTAACACCATGCTTTGTTAATTCTTCCTTTGTTTTTAGGAATTCTTTATCATCTAAAAGATCTTCATATCTAAGAATTTTATCTAGTGAAATTAAGCTTGGTTGTGAAAAGACTTGAAGGAGTGAGACCCATCTTGGAATTTTAGAATATACCAATGGTAGAATCTTTTCCCAAGTTGATAATAAGGATTTTATTATCAAATGATTTTTAATTATGCCCAGCTGCTTTCCCATACCAAACTAAAGCATGCCATCCTATCTTTAAATCATGCCCTTCTAGAGCTAAAAGTCTTTGATTTTCAAGCAAAATCTAATCTCTCATCCAAACCAAGCAGGATGCTCTATAAATGTCCTCCAATCGGGTAAAGCAAAACCAGCATTTTCTTTGAAATCTTCCAGTGCTTTCAATTTAATTCTTGGCTTTTTCCCTTGTCAAATAAAATTAGATGTTAGCTTATTCATATCGTCAAAGAAGGATCAACTGGTTCAAACAAGGAATAGTCTGATATAGAAATATGTTCA